GAATCCAAACCGGAATTAATCGAAAAGAAAAGAGAAATCTTCCATAAAGGGAACTAAGAAAATTAAGAAGGGAAAGGGAAAGACGCAGGAGTTCATCGTGAGGGCTCAGTAGGTTCTGATAGGAAACTGAGCTGTTTCTGCAATGTTGGATGCCCGCATGCAAACATTGATGAACCCTTTAGCTGCCTCTTGTTCTTTAGCTTGATTCCAAATAAGAAAGAACGCAAAGGAATTCTAGGCTTCCCAGTTCTCGACACGGGATTTTGAGCTGTTGATGCTGACACCCCAAGTTCCCTTTCCAAATTCGCCATTACTTTCTCAACTTCAAGCTTGAGTTGTCTCACACGATCAAAGCCTGCTTTCAATTCATCAGCAACCTTGTTGTTTTCCTGTTTCATGTTGAGAACCTCACCTTGAAACTTTGCAGCCTGATATCCACTGAGTTCAGTCTCTCCTGCATGGCCACTAGCATTGGTCACTCTTGCAATCTCTTCTTGGATGTTGCACAAGGAGGAATATCTGCCTTGCACTTCGTCCTTCAAAACTGCATTGTTTTCCAACCATAATGTTAATTCAGTTTTTACTTCTCTCAAGTGAGAATAAATGGGGCGTGCTTCGGATTTGAGAGATTGATGCTGCTTTCCACTTCCTTCTTGCTTCATTTTTCCTCTCAGTGTTGATAACTCTGCTTTCAAGTCCTGGACTGAAGTTTGGTATTTTTGAATCTGATGAAAAGATGTGCTGAACCTCAACCAGAACTCTAGATTTTCCTCCAGCAAGTCATCAATATCTGATCGGATTTTTTCTTCTACGGTTAAAACATGACGGGGTTGGCTTACAGGTTTTACCTGCATAAGAATTTCTCCCATTGTCTTGGGAGATTCTTCGAATCTTCCATGTGCAGTTGCTTCGACTACTTTTTCCTCGGATTCAACTTTCCCCTGACCTACGACTACTGGCCATGCCTGAATAGATTCGGTCACTGTAGATTCTTGGCTTGCGCTTAGACGGGGTCCTTCAAGTTCTACAAAGTTCCCATCCTTGTTTTGATCTGGAAAGCTCATTTTTTGACGCAAAGATTGAATCTCTCCATCTCTGGAGGCCACAGCATTCTTCAGTTCCCTTATCTGCAATGCCAATTCGAAGAAACCGTCTCGGTTTTTCTTCTCTA